AAGATTTCCAGATACCAGTAGGATGTTCAATACACAGTCTGGCTCTGAACTGTTCAGTTTTTGCAGATTTCTTCGCACTCCGCTTTAGTCTGAAAGTTATTAGTAGTAATCAGAGACGCAGCGAGGGGGGGGGGGGGCGGGGGCGGGAGATGCGGACCGCACCGGATGACACCAAGGCAAAAAATAGCAAAATGTATATAGAAAAATGATAATTTCATTTAATTATGTGGTTAATTTGAGTATTAAATAGTGTTTTAAGAGGTGCAAATAGAAAGTTTAAGGGGGGGGGGGCTGCAAATCGAAATTTTGAAGGTGGGGGGGGGGGGGGGGGGCGGCAAATTGAAAATTGTCCCCGGGAATGGGGGGTGACACCATTAAGTGCCACACTGGAGACACCAGACCTCGCTAGGCCACTGGTAATAATGTATGTACAAACCTCTATACACACCGTTTTGACTGGGCTGAAGGCAAATAAGTTTTGGAGTTAATAATAAGATATTTTGCACCTTAGAAAATATACCCAATTAAGATACATATATATTTAAAGTATGTATTGGGAGCTGATCTCTATGGTATACTTTATCACTATCATTCTCAGTTTTAATATCAGTAATATACGAAGACCCGTTTATATTGGATCAATAAACGGGAAACTTACTATTGCTATTGTGTAATAAACTAGGGTCAATTCATTGACATAGGTCACCAAAAGCTTTTGTAGGATATCAAAAGTTCTTGTAAAAATATTCGGCATACCAAAGCTGTTGTAGAATTGTAAGGTTCTATATGAAATACAATCGATGCTACATTTTACCATTTTTCCCGCAGACCTTCTTGCAGTCTGATTTGGATTTGAAATTATTTTCATTGCCTCGACAACCGCTGTAAATGAATTCTCTGCAACGCCCTGTGTTCACGTCGAAGTAATATCTGCGTAGAAGCTCTTTGCATGTCCCTTCTGTAACTGGTAGTCGGCACACGTCATCTGGGGGTAGTTGGGGATATGTGTGTGTGTTATGATATTTATGGATGTATGTGTTCAGGGTATTTTATGTATAATAATATATATGGATATTTGTGCATCTTAATTTGATAAAAATACGCTTTTCAACCGTACCTCCATGCACATTTATATAAGTAGGCCTACTTACGTATTATTGATTTCGTTGAAGTTGTTTGGTGTCAAAATGTTGGACAATATTCGAAACTAAATATACTTATATCTCTCAACATAATCATCAACTAAACGTTGTTTACGTTTGTTAATTTTATTTTGAGTATATAAGCAGCTTTAAAAATATAAACAATGATATTGGATTGAATAAATCAAATCATTACACTATTCATTAAATATATATTTTAATCTTATCTTTCTTCGTTCTTAATTGTAATGTTGAAAGAGATTTTTCTTATTTGCGTCAAAATGGTATGCGTAACGTAGGCCATTGACTCAGATTAAAGCCTGCTTTTATTTTTGTATTTGCTTCGTCAGCCTGTCTTTATCCAAGAACAAACTTCTAATTTTGAAGTGCTCTCAGTTAGATGAGTTGATATCTCTAGCTATTGAAGCCTCATGTGCCCGAGGATTTGAACTCGGGACTTTTCGGTTTTTCAACCACGAACTTTACCGGCCCGACTACGTCAGCCACTTATGATTAATTCAAATAAAATGTTTAGACTTACTATCATTTTGCATTGAAAACTCGACAAGTAGTGTCATCACACAGAGCACAAACAACATGGAAAACATTTTATCTGGCAACTGTTGGACGTCTTGGCTAGACTCGGTGTTGTAATGTATGGATCGGTAATTGATGAGTCTCTTGACTTAACACAAGAGTTTATATACCATTAATCAGCTTAGTATCGAATAGCCAGATGCGTGAATAGAAAAGGTTAATCCTCATCAGTGGGGTGACTTCTTAGGTGACCAATTACAAAAGGTTTTACAACAAAATTGTTGTCCTTGCTGACGGGTTATGAAGGGCATATATAAATTATTGTGATCGGTAGTAATAGCAGAATTATTATAACAAAACTATTGTGATGCATTACGAAAAACATAAGTACAAGAATTAATTCTATCTCAAACCTCGGAGTTTTACGCCACGAATAAATTTTTAAGAGTCGCTAGAATTTCATACAGAACTAGTAAAAGCACTAATGTTTTTTTTTCATGAACTAACAGGCAATCATAATGATTTAATCATAACTTGATCATTAATTAATCGGCTCTTTGAAGTTTTACATTTTTCGTCGTCATGCCATAGTTTTCACTGTCATATCTCTAACATCTTTCGTACCCCTTTTCTCCCTCTTTCATTTTCTCACTGTATCGTTCTCCAACCAACTCCTTCTTTTTCTCACTCCATTTCTTTATTTTCTGCCTCCCTATTTGTCTCTATCACGCAATTAATATATTTCTCTATTCCTCAAATATTTTCACGAGTTATAGTTATGTAAACATGGACACCCTTTTACGTGGGATCCACTGCGCCCCTCTACATATAAGACGAACAATCACACAAGGAGATACAAAAACACAATACTAAATAAAACAAAGTCTCGTTAACACTAACATATTTTAATACTATCGACACTAACTTCACAACATAGGCTATTCTAAATACAAATACATAAGGTAGTACACAAACTAATCTACAGTGGCTAACTAACAGTAAAGAACTAACCTACAGTAATCTTATGGGAGAACTGGACTAAACTGAGGCAATAACACACGTTCACAGACACCTTTTATACCCATAGACAAAACAGGTACAAACCGGACTGACACAACTCATCACACGAGGATTGAATACGGACGAACCGGACAGGATACAACATATAAACATCATTCTCCCCCATTCTCCCCCTTTACTCATTCACTACATTACCATTGCAATTTCACATACTGTTTGAGACACAGTTCAGTTTTTAAGAAAATGTACACAAGTTTTAACACATTTCTGTAAGCTAACTTAACTATCTAACATAGCTTGACGATAAATCAATGTTACCTGCCTGCTCCCTATCTGATCAATAATTCTAATTTATTTCCCAAGTCTCTACTGAAAACGTTTCCTCTATTGTCAAACAATTAAGTATAAGCCGTAAGAGGACGCGGGTGTAGAAAATCAATAAAACTAAAATGAAGAAAAAATTAAAATTATCTGGCCATCTCCTGACACAAATTATTTGGCCTTTCGTGACAATTATTTCTCTATCTCCGTTTATTTATTTTTCCATCTCAGAACAATTATCTGGCCATCTCAGGCCGTCTCGTCGACACCAACGGGAATGTAAATTGATGGTATAAAGTACTTACCTTGTATCACTCACAGTTTGTGCGTTTGTCTTTCTCAAATGATATATAAACAAAATTAAAGAAAAAAGTAAAATATATAATTCTCTGCCTTCTGTCAAATTATCAGTAATTTCCGTTGACCGGAAGTAGTAATTTACGCTATTTCCAATTTCTCAAAAAACGCATGTAAAATTATAAAGTACTAAAGTTCTTATAATATTCCGCAGTATAATACACAGATTGTTTGGTGTTCACTTGGTGCGCAATTCTTTTTTTTTTCTACGATATTCTATTCTATTGAAAAAAGTTTAAGTAATTAAAAATGGATTAAAAATCATGTCTATATCCCGAGATGCCATCCCCCGTAGTGTTATATAAGAATATTCGAGAAAGTTTAGGCGAGGCCACTCCCGGTTTATTTTTAATCAATAACAATTTATAAGTTACTCCAAAATATTTACTAAATTGTATCAGGCGCTTCAGCCAGCACCCAGGGCTCAATTTGGCGCCTTGGGCTATCCCGTGAGAACTTAAGTGCATAGTTTCGTTCTAAAGAGTGCGATAAGTTGTGGGTAAAATGGGCTACTAAAGTCGTTTACTTAATCTAAACCAGGGCGACATCCGGTACCTCGACATGGTGTTATTTTGAGCCCCGGGTATTCCTGTTAGCGCTGTAGCACCTACGTTCTTTTAAATGAGTGCAATAGACTATGGATAAGTTGGGACCGTTATTGTTTGCGTTTAGGTTTGCGTTTGTGTTGGTGTTTTAATGTTGCGTGTTCCGTTCTCGTTTGCGTTAGTTTGTTTATCTGCGTTGTGTTTGCACTTGTATTTGCGTTTATCTTTGCATTGTGATTGTGTATGCGTTCACGTTTTTTGTGTGTTTGTGTTTGCGTTGTGTTTGTGATTGTGTTTTTTGTGTTTTTTTAGTTTGTGTTAGCTTACATTTTGGGTTTCTGTTTGCGGTTCTGTTTCTGTTTGCGTATTGCGTTTGCGTTAGGATTTGTTTTTTTGTGTGTATTTGCGTTTGCGTTTTCGTTTGTGTTTACCTTTTGAGTTGTGAAATTATTTTGTGCATCGGTATTTGTGTTTTCTTGTTACGTTTGCATTAGCGTTTTTTATGGTTTTTTTTTGCGTTTGCATTTGTGTTTGCGTTTGTGTTTGCATTGTGTTTGTATTTGTGTTTGCGTTTTTTTGTGTGTGTTTGCGCTTGCATTTTCTTGTGTTCTTTCTTGAGCGTTGTGTTTCTGTTTGTGTTTGCGTTTGTTTTTGTGTTTTGCGTGTTGCGATTGCATTAACGTTTGTGCTTTTTGTGCTTGTGTTTGCATTGTGTTTGTGTTTGTGTTTGTGTTTTCGTTTTCGTTTTCGTTTGTGTTTAGTTTTGTCCTATTCCCAAGTTGGTACCTTTAAAAACGATTCAACCTTGCGGAGCACAGGTATGCAGCTAGTATAAAAATAAACAAAATCTCTGCTCACTAAATTTTTGAAGATGGTATTTAATAAACAATATTAACCCTTGCTTTTTTAAATAAACAGTGGTGCATTATTTTGTTTCACAAAAAAATAGTTTTTCTACTTTTCTTTAATGCATGAACTAAACCTCTAAGAAAGTTCGTTTAACTGTTTTAAATAAAATTTTATTTTTTGAAATCTAATTATAACAAAGAAATTTTTTTTTCTTCGACATAATAAAATAAACAAACTGAAATACAGCGGATTTATTATTTGTCAACATTATCTAAAATTTAAGTATTTTTAACTGTTAAAAGTAGAATCAAAAGTTCTTGTTGGTCTGATGTCGCCCACTGCCTAGTAGGCTACAAGTAGATCCCAGTATAGTCTAGGATCTATCTCAACCTGCTGGTACAGTTGCAAGGGTCGTTCTCTCCATGTCCTTCAGCAATCAGATTTGGTGGTAGAGGAATTCTGGGAAATTGTTGTTAAAAAATGGGGTTTTAATCAAATCAATGTTGTCTAACAAGTCATGTTGCTTAGTTAAGTACACACTTTCGATAAAAATGTTGATACTTTAACCTGAACCTAAGTATAAACCGCAGACTATCTTATACAGAGTAGTTAATTTCATTGTCGTTACATGCGAGTTCTTTTTAAAATGAAGGGGTTGGGGGGGGGGGAGGGAAGCAAGGTTAAAACTGTAACAATTTCTGGTGGACACGCTAAGTCAACATTCTAGAACACAGTTCCCTCGATTGCACTGTCTTAAAGTCTAAACCCCACTGCCAACAATCCAACCGTGACCGACACTTTTGAACAACATTTCTAGATAAGGGAGTCAACCTACCCACCACCACCTCCACCACCACCATCATCCTCAATAACTAGCTGGTTGCGCTCATGAATACATCACCAACCTTTCCTTGGACCAGACGATGTAGGGGACAGTACTCGAGTGCTCCGGGAACAAACCCAGCGTTGAGACAACAGCGAAGGAGTTACAAGTGAGACCTACGGTGTACGATGGCCGACCCTGAAAATACAAAAGAAAAAAATAACTTTTATTTTTGTGTAGTCATTCATGAGATCCTATTGAGTATGAGACTAGATTTGAATACACTTTCAGTATAGAAACAGCGGAAACAATAAAATATTTGCGATTCTTTAAAAGTTAGTTGAGCCGGTGTTCATGGATAATGTTGACAATTTTAAGACTCAGAGGTTTGCAATGTGCCGATAATTGGCGTTTACAGTTAATATATTGTAAGGTACCAGTGTGGTTTTAAGTAAATGTTTTAAGTCGTAGTGGGTTTGGTGTCGAATTAATAGCAAACAGAATGAAAAGTATCAAGATGGCGATAATTGTTTTAAAGTATAAATATTAATATTCTTATATATTTAAAAAAAAACTTTAATATATTAAATGTAAGAAATAAAACGTAAAATTTTTAAAAATAATCTATTGAATAATCTAAAAACTTGTCAGTAATTTTGTCTATTTTTTGTCTATTCTTATCACAAACTCGTTTTATTTTTCATACGATTAACAGTGGCTATAGCACGCGACCATGTTGAGTAATGTTGACTTACTCCGTTGTAGAATCCTGTACACTCGGGCCATGAGCCGACGAAAGAGTTAGCCTCAATGAGCCTGAAGAGGGCCACACATTCCTCCCTGCACTGGAATTCGTCCTTGCTCAGGGTGGAGATCAGGGTCAAGTTCGCGTCACCGTTGCTGGACAGATTTTTTAAATGGTTATTTTGTGTAAGGTTGTAGGATACATGTCTGTACGCGTGGGGAAGTGTTACACATTCGTACAGGACAGGAAGTGTTACATATTTGTACAGTTGAGAAAATGTTACAAATTTTATCAGCAGACGAAGTGTTACATATTTGTACAGGAGAGGAAGTGTTACTAAAAGTGTTACACATTTAAAAAAGAGAGGACGTGTTACATATTTGTATTCTAGATGAAGTGTTACATATTTAAAATAAAAAGCAGAACAAGTGTTACTAGAAGTGTTACACATTTAAAACAGAGAGGAAGTGTCACATGTTTTTACAAGAGAGGACGTGTTACATATTTGTACACGTAATGAAGTGTAACGTATTTTTACAGCAGAGGAAGAGTTACATATTTGTACCTTACATGGAGTGTTACATAATTGAACACCACTGCTAATTTCCCCGATATGTTTAAAGGCCGGTTGAAAATGTCTATCAGCCGGTAGTGTAAACAACCGGCAGTAGTAAAATGTAACCTTGCATCAAGATTCCAACAACCGGAATCTTGATATAATACATATCCTTTTAACCACACCATCATTATTTCCGTATACGCAACTACACCCTCACAACTAACGTTCTATGAACGCACAACAAAATGATGCGCTGAGCATCCTTGAAACAGCAAGACAAAGACACTACTTACGGGAAAGCATCAGGATGGCTCACGTTGTAAGGGACGACCCGTATGAGTTTATCCACATCCAGTGTGATGGCCAACACGTGCTGTTTCTCAGGGACTCCGTTAATTTTATGGACTAAAGTCAACGTAAAAGCCTGAAAAAATTAAATGGAAACGTTTTGTTTTTTTTTTTTTTTTTTTTTAGAAAGCCGTTGAAAATATTCGACGAAAATCATAAGAAAGGAAATCTTAAAATATAAATTTAAGTGTAACCAGCTTATTCTTGAATTGAAATGTAAATCAAAACAACTTTTACTTTAACTAGCGTGAGTCAGGTACACATCAAAGCCGGGTGGACTCGAGAACGTCCTACTAACTCTAGCCTGGGATCCGAACTTACGGGTTACCTTTCTTGCGCGCTATCTTCCGACCATACAGTATATAAATACGTCAGATTCTATGCTCAGGCTATGGGATTCAGGAGAGAGTAAGTCGGAGAATTCGTGGACCAAACTGTGATCAAATAAAGAGTCGAAAACCGAGAAAAAAATTCCATTGAAGATTACCAAAAAAAAAAAAACGAAAACCGAAGTAACGTTTTCAGAAAGATACGGGACCCAACTTTTAATGTACAGTTTTATTGCAACGACCTAGTCGAGCATTGATGAAAATAAGAATTTTACTCATAAGCACACAGAAAAATGCGAAAAAAGAGAATTTCCGCATACAGAATGCTATAAACGATTTTGAAGGGGAAACTTGTGAACGAAACGGTTAGAAAAATTTAGATGTATGGGTCTGAATGCTGTGACTGATCTTATGTCGTATAATGTGTTTTCTTTTAATGTGACGCTTGAATATCTTTATTATATTCGTAATGAAGGCAGTAAATTCCAAACATATCTTCAGGTAACTTAATTCATAATTAATTAAAGAACTTACCGGATGTAGAGACGGGACGTCTACCGGAAGAATAGTTGTTTCCAGAACATCCAGCGTGCTGCTAAGTTTTCCAGGGTCGCCTACGTTGCAGAATTTTCCGATCGCGCGCCTGAAGAAGTTGGTGAGTAAGGACGAGCTGCATTCTGAATTAGAGTGAGGACAACGGTAAAAGCTAGGCTAGACTGAATGCAAAGCTGTCTATGAAACGTGTGAGGACAGCGGTAAAAGCTAGGCTAGACTGAATGAAAAGCTGTCTTTGAAAAGTGTGGGGGCAACGGTAAAAGCTAGGCTATACTGAATGCAAAGCTGTTTTTGAAACGTGTGAGGATAGTGGTAAAAGCTAGGCTAGACTGAATGCGAAGCTGTCTTTGAAACATGTGAGGATAGCGGTAAAAGCTAGGCTAGACTGAATGCAAAGCTGTTTTTGAAACGTGTGAGGATAGTGGTAAAAGCTAGGTATAGACAGAATGCAAAGCTGTTTTTGAAACGTGTGAGGATAGTGGTAAAAGCTAGGCTAGACTGAATGCAAAGCTGTCTTTGAGAAGTGTGGGGGCAACGGTAAAAGCTAGGCTAGACTGAATGCAAACCTGTTTTTGAAACGTGTGAGGATAGTGGTAAAAGCTAGGCTAGACTGAATGCAAAGCTGTCTTTGAGAAGTGTGGGGGCAACGGTAAAAGCTAGGCTAGACTGAATGCAAACCTGTTTTTGAAACGTGTATGGACAACGGAAAAAGCTAGGCTAGACTGAATCCAAAGCTGTCTTTGAAACGTGTATGGACAACGGAAAAAGCTAGGCTAGACTGAATCCAAAGCTGTCTTTGAAAAGTGTGGGGACAACGGTAAAAGCTAGGCTAGACTGAATGCAAAGCTTTTTTTGAGAAGTGTGGGGGCAACGGTAAAAGCTAGGCTAGACTGAATGCAAAGCTGTCTTTGAGAAGTGTGGGGGCAACGGTAAAAGCTAGGCTAGACTGAATGCAAACCTGTTTTTGAAACGTGTGAGGATAGTGGTAAAAGCTAGGCTAGACTGAATGCAAAGCTGTTTTTGAAACGTGTATGGACAACGGAAAAAGCTAGGCTAGACTGAATCCAAAGCTGTCTTTGAAAAGTGTGGGGACAACGGTAAAAGCTAGGCTAGACTGAATGCAAAGCTGTCTTTGAGAAGTGTGGGGGCAACAGTAAAAGCTAGGCTAGACTGAATGCAAAGCTGTCTTTGAAAAGTGTGAGGATAGTGGTAAAAGCTAGGCTAGACTGAATGCAAAGCTGTTTTTGAAACGTGTGAGGATAGTGGTAAAAGCTAGGCTAGACTGAATGCAAAGCTGTCTTTGAGAAGTGTGGGGACAACGGTAAAAGCTAGGCTAGACTGAATGCAAAGCTGTTTTTGAAACGTGTGAGGATAGTGGTAAAAGCTAGGCTAGACTGAATGCAAAGCTGTCTTTGAGAAGTGTGGGGGCAACGGTAAAAGCTAGGCTAGACTGAATGCAAATCCGTCTTTGAAAAGTGGGAGGATAGTGGTAAAAGCTAGGCTAGACTGAATGCAAAGCTGTTTTTGAAACGTGTGAGGATAGTGGTAAAAGCTAGGCTAGACTGAATGCAAAGCTTTTTTTGAGAAGTGTGGGGGCAACGGTAAAAGCTAGGCTAGACTGAATGCAAAGCTGTCTTTGAGAAGTGTGGGGGCAACGGTAAAAGCTAGGCTAGACTGAATGCAAACCTGTTTTTGAAACGTGTGAGGATAGTGGTAAAAGCTAGGCTAGACTGAATGCAAAGCTGTTTTTGAAACGTGTGAGGATAGTGGTAAAAGCTAGGCTAGACTGAATGCAAAGCTGTCTTTGAAAAGTGTGAGGATAGTGGTAAAAGCTAGGCTAGACTGAATGCAAAGCTGTTTATGAAACGTGTGAGGATCAGTGGCGTAGCCAGGATCGTCTCAAGGGGGGGTTCCAATTTTTACCGGGGGTCAAACTTTCGATTTGCACCCCCCCCCTCAGACTTTCGATTTGCACCCCCCCCCCCCTCAAACTTTCGATTTGCACCCCCCCCTCAAACTTTCGATTTGCACCCCCCCTCATACTTTTTATATATACCGAGGGGTCTATGGGGGGGGTTATGACCCCCCCCCCCTTAACCCCCCCTGCCTACGCCACTGGTGAGGATAGTGGTAAAAGCTAGGCTAGACTGAATGGAAAGCTGTCTTTGAAACGTGCGCCCCCTATTCGAGTAATGACAGTTGTTATACTAGTAAACAAGGGATTGTTTCACCCGTCTCGATCTGATTCCTACACCCCTCCCCCACCTTTTGCAGCAAAAGTATAAACTCTGGGAGAAAATTTTTAAAAAAGTATAATTAATTAATTAAGAATATATATACTTTAACCAGGTGTCTCCCCCTGTGTCCGGCACAAATTTAAGTGCTAACCCCCCCCCCCCTCCGCAGAGAAAAATGTTTGAAAGAAACGGCTTCTGAAACTGAATGATGTTTGGCTTAATTTAAACCGGAAACAGGCTACAGATGACTAGAAGAAGGGGAGGGGTGGGGTTGACCAAGAGATTTATGTCCAGTGCATTTCTCTCCCTTGAAATAGCCATGATGTACTCAGTGCGGCAAACATGGCCCCTTATGATTACAGTAATCTGGACATGTCATTGGCGATGTAACATCTGCCTAAATGGATCATAGGCTACATGTTGTAAGCTGAATTAAAATCTATTGTAAGATGATATTTTAGAGTCAGCACTGAGTTTCATTAATGTCTCATAAACATATGAGCTGTTTCGGTTGCCCAGTACTTCAGATAGTAGTTTTTAGAACTATAAAGGTTGTTTTAGGTATTTACATCAAAGAAGAGTAGTAGACAGTTATACAAGCAAACAAAAAAACCTAAAGGAACTTTTTGTGCTATCTTCAATTAAATGAGGGGACGGAGTGGTCCAGCGGTAGAGAGCTGGACTGCTAAACCGTTAGTCTCGAGTCAGTAGACCGTCCCCGAGTCCACCCAACTCTGATGGGTACCTAATTCAAATTAGGGAAAGTAAAGGCGGCTGGGCATAGTGCTGAACACACTATCTCTTCATATGCCGAGGTCACAGAAACAAGTGAACTCTACTTCACTTGCCTCATAGACCGTCAGGTTTGAATGGGAAACTTAACTTACTTTACTTTTCAGTTGAATGATAGCATTATTAACGGAATGAAATCAACAACAGATTAACATAAAATATGAGGTTAACAAAGTCAGCTAAAACTACAAGTATTTTAAACCTACGAAGAGCTGACAAAACTAGTTTCAAGTATGGAACAACTCTTTCGATTTTGTTGAATCTACTTTGAAGCTTGACGGTAGTAACAGTAGGTCTATAATAATGCGTGATAAGAACAACAATACAATCTGTTCATATGTCCAGCTAGCATATGAATCTATACATCCATAATTTTAACTTACGCAAACTGTCAGCCGAGTTTAAAATGAGACAAGCGAACAGAAATAAGCCCACAACACGGCGATACATAATGGTGTTCATGTCATACATCAAATATTCAAAAATTCATTTCTGTTTTATCTAGTTTTGAGTTTTATACTGCTATGGTTAAAAAATATATATATGAAAATGACAAAATTGACATAAAAAGTGGACGTTTAAGTATAACATCAAACAAGGAGTCAGCTGAACCATCCGATCCACGTCAATCATCGGTATTGATTTTTTACTTAATTGCAGGTGTTAATCGATAGATCGATAGTCGCGTTAACAGTTTGACTAAGATACTAAAGTGCTTGGAACATTTAGCTAAGAGGTGAATCAGAGACGATAATCATTACACATTAAGATGAGCATTCAACAGGTATTCACGTGAGGCTAAACCGTACGAGGATTTTTACAATAACCAGCAATCGTTACTAAACCTTTGTAAGTCGGGTACTAAATAAAGCTGAGTAGTCTCAACTTAGTTTTCACATCAAATTGAGAAGTAAATAATTGGGCATGTAGACAGAAGCATACCAAGCATGAGAAGATGTTCACACATTGTTAATGTTCAAACAATCAAGACGTTCACGTAAGACATTTACACAATCAAGACGTTCAAACTATCCATAAGTTCACACAAGAAGTTCACGCAATCAAAATCTAAAATAGGCTATTAATAAATAGAGAGTAATTTTATCATCTTCAATAGAAATAAAAAATATCAAGTTTTGCAGTAACGGCAGAGTTAATTCAACGCTAAAGGTAGAAATAATACATTCCTGATGAAATATCTCTATGTCCCAATGCCTATACATTATAATATTATAATGATAGATATACACAAATATACACACACAAACCACACCACATATAAGGTGGTGAAGCAACTAAATTTTAAGGAAATAAAAAATAACACAACTTTGAATGAATACCAGATTTATTATTTGCAAACGTTGAGGAAAATGTTGAGTAAAACATAGCATCAACAGATACAGTCTGAAGCCGCACATAGCCCAGCAAACTGCAAGTAGATCCCATTATAGTCTAGGATCTATCTCATCCTGCTGGTACAGTTGCAAGGGTCGTTCTCCCCATGTCCTTCAGCAATCAGATTCGGTGGCAGAGGAATTCTGGGAAATATTTGGTAAAATCGCTTTTAATTAGACCTATAAAATCATCTCGATATTTGCTAAGGGATGAGATTTCGATAAAACAAGCTCTACCCTAACCTTAATTTTAACCCCCGGGCCATGTTTTACAAAAATTGCTGATTTAACATTCCAGTCTTCCTGTCCACGAGAACAATTTTAGCAACGATATGGTGGGAAGGTGTGTTGGGGGAGGATTATATTATAATTGAACGGTTTCTGATTAAATTTATTTTAAGTAACAAAATAAATACAAATTCAAATATCTGGAAATTCGTAACCTCGATTAATTAAGCCAAAAAAAGTCCCACTACTCTCAACCCTACGTGCCTGACGTGATTTACGACCAACCCTCTGACCACCTACAATGGGAGGAGTGAAACCAAAGCATACCCCCCCCCTCCCATCCTAATACAAAATCTCGCTGAAAACAACGCTAACCTCTCTTTCGACCAGACAATGTAGGGGACATTACTCGATTGCAGGCTGAATATACCCAGTGTTGAGACAAGGGCGAATGAGTTGCAAGCGAGGCCTACTGTGTAGGATGGTCGACTCTGTGACATTAAAAAAAAAATTCGTTCACGTATTGCTGTCTCTCGGGTCATAGATCAATATAAGTAATTGGGTTAATTAGATTTTACTTAATTTACAACGTTCGGAGTTCGAAGTTGTTTGTTGTTAGTTTACATATCTCCAATTCGATCCATTTTAAAGCGAATTCCCTCTAACTGTCCAGATTAGTTTAATGCAGATTACAGATAATTGTAAATTTGGTGTTTATTTGGTGTTTTCATTAGTTTGAAAAAAAAGGGATAATATTTGGGAAAGGTTAATTAGAGCATTATAAACATCATGTTTTGGGAAAGATTAATAACCCTATTATAATCATCCTTTTTGGGAAAGGTTAATCACCCCATAATAATCATCCTATTTAGGAAAGGTTGATTACCCCATTATAATCACCCTATTTGGTAAAGGTTAATTATCCCATTATAATCATCTTATTTGGGAAAGGTTAATTACCCCATTATAATCATCCTATTTGGTAAAGGTTAATTACCCCATTATTATTATCCTTTTTGAGAAAGTTTAATTACTCCATTATAATCATCATATTTGGGAAAGGTTAATTACCCCATTATAATCATCGTATTTGGGAAAAGTCAATTACTCCATTATTATTATCATATTTGAGAAAGTTTTATTACCCCATTATTATTATCCTATTTGAGAAAGTTTAATTACCCCATTATTATTATCCTATTTGAGAAAGTTTAATTACCCCATTATAATCATCCTATTTTGGAAATGTTAATTACCCCATTATAATCATCCTATTTAGGAAAGTTTAATTACCCCATTATAATCACGTGAACACACAGGCCAGGAGCCAATGAAAGAGTTGGCCTCGATGAGCCGGAAGCGGATCACACAATCTTGGCTGCCCCGGAAGTCGTCCTTGCTCAGCGTGGAGATCAAGGTCAAGTTCGCATCGCCGTTGCTGTATAGTTCAGGGATACATTTCCGTAAGAATGGTTTATATGTTTACATTGCAGCATTTGTAACCTCATTCAACACCTTACAGGCATTACACAGCTGATAAATACTTCATTGGGGACGGTGGGGGTCAAGCGGTAGAGGGCTCGACTGCCAACACGGGAGTCACGTGTTCAGATATCGGTCCGGATTTTAGTCTGCGGAAGGTCCCTGAGTTCACCCAGCTCAGATAGGTTCCTCGCCCACGTTAAGGTAAATAAAGTAGACTGGACAGAATTCTGACCATACTATCCCTTAAAATGTCGAGGTCAAGAAACATATAAACTATACTCTATCTACTCTATTAATATCATTGAATTTGACAGGAGAATTGTGTTTATACAACTTATAAATTAATTCACCAACCACTGAAACCATATTTTTAACTTATCAACTATTCAACCAGTGGCGTAGCGAGGGTGGGGGGGGGGGGGGGTAGCGGGGGTGCGGACCGCACAGGGTGACACCATTTAAGGGGGGTGACACCAAGGCGAAAAATAGCAAAATATAAAGAGAAAAAAAATGATATTTCCACTTAATTAAGTGATTAAGTCGAAGGTTAAATAGTCTTGTAAGAGCAAATTTGACAATCCCAACAACGGTGAAGGGGGGGGGGGGGGTGCAAATCGAAAGTTTTAGGGGGGGGGGGTAAACAAATAGAAAGACTAAGAAGAAGAAGAGGGGGGGGGGGGTGCAAAAATCGAACGTTTGAGGGGGTGCAAATCGAAAATTGAAAGTTTGTCCCCGGGCGCCGGGAAAGGTCGCTACGCCTCTGGGGGGGGGGGTGACACCCTTAAGTGCCGTACAGGGTAACACCCGACCTCGCTACGCCACTGTATTCAACACCCCTTTTCTTCACCGCTTTTGCCTCGTTTTCACCTAGTCTACAGAGAAATTGGGTTGGGTTACAAAACTTGAGGTCTCCAGTTCCTTTCTCGGAACTTATTCCGTACAATCTGTCATTGATTACCCGCCCGTAATTGGTTCCTAACATAATTCGTGGAAATATAGGAATCTAGGCATAGTGGCATCGTAATACTGCACCGTGGTCAAGAATTAATTTCTCTGTTAACCTACTTTTAAACAAAAACCTACTTGATCTAATACACAATCATTTAAAGGCAATGCTATTTTACTTAGACATCCAACAATATACGGGAAAGCGTTAGGATACGTCACGTTGTAAGGACGACTTACGGGAAAGCGTTAGGATACGTCACGTTGTAAAGGACAACTTACGGAAAAGAGTTAGGATACGTCACGTTGTAAAGGACAACTTACGGGAAAGCGTTAGGATACATCACTTTGTAAGGACAACTTATAAGAAAGCGTTAGAATACGTAACGTTGTAAGGACAACTTATAAGAAAGCGTTAGAATACGTAACGTTGTAAAAGACAACTTACGGGAAAGCGTTAGAATACGTAACGTTGTAAGGACAACTTACGGGAAAGCGTTAGGATGGATCACGTTGTAAGGACAACTTACGGAAAAGCGTTAGGATGGATCACGTTGTAAGGAAAGCCATGTATGATCTTCTCCTCATCCAGCGTGACAGCCATCACTTGCTGTATCAGAGGGACGCCGTTGATTTTAAAAACCATAGTCAGGGTAAACGCCTGAAAACAAATTTACAAGGAGTATAAAGTTTAGTCTACGGGGAAAAAATTCTCAGTACACGAATCATTGTAAAATAAATGTATGCTTAAGATTAAAAGTAAACGAAACCAGCTGTTATAAATTTTAACTAAAGCGTTTACTGAAAAAGGCACTAAAAATTAAACAAACGACGTTAATTTATTTTTAAAGATGGTAATAATGAATGAATAATTAATGTCCAGGTAATATTTTTGTATTCTGTTTTCGGCTTTAGAAAGCGTGTGAATAAATCGTTTTTACGTCACGACACTATAGAGTAATGCTATAAAATCATTCATTTCTTGTTTTAAGTTAGTTATGTGCTTAAAACACTTTTTATACTCGTTAGGAAAATAAATATTTCTCTACAGCTTTTTAAAGGTGCATCCAAATATGTATTTCCATTTTTTTTTAAAATAGGTGGGATAATTTTTGTAACTATGACAACGGCGGCAATCTTGAAAAATTAACCTCTTCGTAGGATTTTTACTATTCATAAAATATTATATTTTAAGTCCAATAAACAATGAATTCATAATCTTTTACCATATTTCAGCCTGCTTTTCTTTTTGGAATGCTTCCATAGTCCTTGTCCAACCAAGCCCAGAACTAAAGGCAACCATTATTTGATTTTTGAGTTGTCTCTTCTAGGTTCCTTGCTGACCCAGAGTCTTGTCTGCCCGGGGGTTCGAACCCGTGACCACAAGCCGACCACGCCAACCCCTGCATCTCAGTATAGGCCTGCATTTTCCATTTTTTTGGGTTTGGTAATACATCACTGTCTCTGATCTGTTATTTGGTATTCTATCTAGATGACCCAACTTACGAAATCTTCCTTTTTCTTATGTCTGCTACTACTACATGACAGTTGCACAGTTCTTGCAATTCACAATTGTAGAATTACAGTCGAAATTTCGAAAAAGATATAAATTACTAAAGAGTAAAACTTTTTTATAACATTTTTTGTGCTCAATGGAAAATTACGCACACAGAAAAATGCTCCAATTGAAGTAAGCGCAGAGAGAATAAGTAAGTCTAAATTAATTTTTATTTTTATTTTCAAGGGATGCATGTTTAACAAAAGAAATGTTTTCCATAAAATTACCGAATATAGTTTCGCTGTCTGTCTATCTATCTATCTATCTATCTATCTGACAAGAACGCTCTAGAGAAAACACAAGCAATTTAAAAACATGCATAGTATTTCGAAAAACGAAGTATGACGTCGACACATTTAGCATCTCAAGCCGGAGAGTGCACACAGTAATATGACGTCATTGATTCTCAAAAAAGGCAATTTTGTCTAATCTAAGTGGTTTGCGTGAAGAGTTTCTTGCATACAATTCTTCGGGTAGGGGCGAAGCCCCACCCCCCGCGTAAGAACGTCTGAGCCCCCCCCCCTCCCTAACACAAAAGAAATTTCTTCATCGATACTCTATAATAAAATTACCGCCTAATTAATGTGTCTAATCTAAAAAGTGGTTTTCTTGCAATGTCTTTAATGCAATTCTTCGGGTAGTGGCTAAGCGCGACACCAGTGTTTCTTTCAGACTTTTTCCTCCCCGGAGAGGGATGGGGGTACTTGAAATTTTCGGTGGCGGGGGTAGAATTTTCGGGGAGGGGGCGGACACTGGGTGGTGTGTGTGTGTGGGGGGGGGGGGGGTGGGGGGTGGGGGGGGGGGGTGGTGTGTGTGTGGGGGGGGGGAGGGGGTGGGGTGGTTTTAGTTTAGACTTTTTCCTCCCCGGAGAGGGGTGGGGGGTACTTGAAATTTTCGGGGGCGGGGGTAGAATTTTCGGGGAGGGGGCGGACACTGGAAAAAGTATATAATCATATTTCGTTGAATGGGACGGTAGACATGTTTTTTTGGGGGGTGGGGGGGGGGGTGGGGGGGGGGGGTGTTGGGGGGTGGGGGTGGGTTGGTTTTAGTTTAGAGAAAAGAGACAGCACTATCAACCTAGCGCCCGGTGTATCCTTCCTCAACGGGCCATTTTTCTCGTATTTAAATAATATCGCATAGATGTAAAGTTCTGGATTGTATTTTCTGTAACATGGCTTTTGTTAAATTTGCTGATACATTTCTCTTTCGAATGCGCATCATCGTTGCGTTTGACTCGAAAATATACACTTAAGTAAGTTGATTTCCTAGATTGTGTGAGAACCTACCGGATGTAGAGATGGGACGTCTACCGGAAGTACCGTTGTCTCCACAACATCCAATGTGCTGCTAAGTTTTCCAGGGTCTCACACGTTGCAGAATTTTCCGACCGCGCGCCTGAAAAAGTTGGTGAGCAAGGACGATCTACATTCTGAAGGAGAGTAAAGAGAAAATATTAGGCTGGTTACATTAATGACAACACTGTCTATGAAAGCATGGGTGTCCATATTCGAGAAATGACAGGCTGTAGTGGTAGTGAGTTCAGGCCTATGAGTAAGGTGGTAAGGTGGTAGAGTAACTTGTCCCTTTCTTTATCTTGATTATAAAAATTGAATGAATTGCTTCCTATGCAATTAATTATAAAGTATCAACATGTTGTGAGCCATGTCCATTAACACCTTCAGTCGGCATTTGTCCTTAATTTGTTTCCATAACCTCTGCCCACACAAGCACAAACTACAAGGCACTAGTTACTTTAATTTGGAGTTTTCTCTCCTTCATTGGTTGCTGTGCTCAGCTCAACTGTCTGGAGGTTCGAACTCGGGACTTTTAGAGTTAGCAATTATTCGCGATCCTGGTCGACCACACCGCCCACTTTAAGGTCTTTGAGATATTTTGCGACATGCATATAACACCAGTTGTACGGTGTTATGTGGAAGAGTAATTGTGTGAAAGTCGATCGCTGACTTTGTAGTTTTTGAGATGGTCTCGTTAGGGCACGTGCAATGTTTATGTGAGCAAAGCTTTTTATAGAGAGAGTAGCTGTTGAGTAAAAGCAACATACGGTACACGATCAAATCCATTAAAACCTAAAGTGAGCTAAGTCTATTGCACACACTTTTAAATTTAAGAAATGTGTGCTAAAATGAGCTAATACTATTCCTTTTAGCTTTGAGTTTAAGTAATTGGTGTTAATATGGGCTAAAAATATTCCTTTTAGGTTTGATTTTGACTAGTATTCATATAGATTGGACAGCGATGAAAAGTAGTGAAATATTTAACGCGAAAAAAAACAAACGCAAACAGGAATTCATTGCATATTCCGGGTTGAACGATATCAATCGCAAAAAAATAAAACATAGAAAAAAAACACAGAGAAACGGAACATAAGAAATTCTGAAGTTTTAAGAGTCGACTAAACTAGGAAAAAAATTGAGTATGAAAAACTGGAAAAAATAGTGCCATACATGATACAATAACTCCAATTTTGTTTCAACCATAGAAAAGCCGCAGTCACAAACAAAAGTGTATTAAGACAACTACAATACAAACCTTTCAACAGCTTAAGTAGCTGGTGACTACATAATACAAGTTTTAACTTACGTAAACTGTCAGCCGAGTTTAGAAAGACACAAGCGAACAGAAATAAACCCGCAACACGGCGATACATAATGGTGTTCATGTCATACATCAAATATTCAAAACTTCGTTTCCTATCATCTAGTTCTGAGTTTTATACTTTTTTAGTTAAAACATACATCTATTATTGTCGTAATTGTCATAAAAAGTGGAAGTTCAACATCATACATTGATTCAGCTCAATGTCAATCATCGATATTGATTTTTTTTTATTTTTTCACTTACTTGCAACCGATAAGGGGATATGCTCATTACAAAATCACCAAAAATCCTGATTTTTTTCCTGATGATGTTTTATTTGCACTTTGAATACTTTGTCCATTTTTGTATTAGGAAAATTATAACTTTAATGAGATTTTTTTTCAGATGTTTTAAATACCATTTTTTTACCATATTAATTAAAAAATAATCCTTTTTTCCCCAATCTTACCAGTTGTGTACGAAAAGTTTTATATCCGTTATCATATTGTATCAATGGAAAGCTAGATTTCTCATGTATTTGTTAATCGTATTTTCCATCACCTCGGAAACACCCAAAGCTTACAATCGGCTTCACAAATTTACACAGATATATTTTCGTTACTTTTCGTTACTTTTTGCAGTCTTTCTCAGTTCGCAATTTTTTAACACTAAAAAGCCTACTATATTTTTTATTTATTAAACAAAGGCAACCATATTTTCAGATTTTGTTCTTGATGCATAAATAAAACATTAGTTACGTGGGAGTTATGATAGCTTTAAAAGAAAAAAAGTTTACTGTAAATAATATCCAAATTTGAAACTTTTGCATACTAAAAAGGGTACAATTTTTATGACCTTGTAATATTGTGACCATTAGATCTTTTAAAAAGTTGTCGTGACAAAAGTTTAAATATATACTGAAATACAAGCCTAATAAATGTCATTGCTAACAGTGTATACAGAAAGAAGGCTTATTATTTTTACAAGTACCTAAATATTCAAAATGGCGGAGGTTTTATTTTGGGTTTCCATGACAACCAAAATTGTAACCCTTTTTTTTGCTGTTTAATACATACTTTTATGTGCCAAACACGTTAAAAGTACTGAAAAGGCTTTAGATCTTAAATTGCAAAAAAAAAAAAAAAACAAGAAAAAAACGGAGCATATCCCCTTAATCGATAGATTGATAGTTGCGTCAAATTTTAACTTTGGTACTAAAACACTTGGAACATTTAGCTAAAAAGTTTAACAGAGAGGAGAATTGTCAATACATTAAGATGTCCATTCAGCAGATAATGTTCACATAGGGATATTTGCTAAATGTACGTGACTTTTTTTTTTACAATCCACACAATCTAGAAGTCCACACAATCAAGACGTCCACACAATCTAGAAGTCCACACATTCAAGACGTCCACATAATCTAGAAGTCCACACAATCAAGACGTCCACACAATCTAGAAATCCACACAATCAAGACGTCCACACAATCTAGAAGTCCACACAATCAAGACGTCCACACAATCTAGAAATCCACACAATCAAGACGTCCACACAATGTAGACGTTCACACAATCTAGACGTCCACACAATCTAGACGTCCACACAATCTAGACGTCCAATGTAGTTTAACCGCAGCCCTAAGCTCTTCAGGAGCTAAATAGTGTGCTGTATTAAGTGAAGTGTCTACCTTGGGCGTTGAAATATCTCTATGTCATAATTACTGTTTCAGTAACAACACATGCTTTAAACCCCTCTGTATATGCATATATATATATATATATATATATATATATATATATATATATATATATATAAATATATATATATATATATATATATATATATATATATATATATATATATATATATATATATATATATATACATATATATATATATATATATATATATATATATTGATATAGATAGATAGATTCAGATATTAGATAGCAGAGACGAAATAAGTGGTAAATAGAAACACAAAAAAACACTTAAATGAACACATGATTTATTTCTTTTTACAAACGACACCTACAATTCAAAGTGTTCTACATTAAAACAGCATCAAGGCGTTAAGTCGGATGTTGTTCAGTACCCAGCATACTGCATGCAGATCCCAGTATAGTCTAGGATCTATCTCAATCTGCTGGTACAGTTACAAGGGTCGTTCTCTCCGTGTCCTTCAGCAATCAGATTTGGTGGCAGAGGAATTCTGGGAAATATGAGTAGAATTCGTTTTTAATCTGATCCGCATAGACATACTTCTTATGCATACTTTTCTAATTAAACTGACCCTACATATTAACTCTAAATAAAGCTCACTATCTCTTACAGAACCTAATTTTACAACTAAGCCTTCATGTCAAAACTAGTAAGTTTAGTAATAAAATTGTAAAGTAAAGGAGGGGTGAACTTTTTGAAACATTTTTGAATGTTTTTTTTTTATCAAATGCACTCCGCTTAACAACATAACTGCTGATAATCTAAAGTCAACTTTCTAGAACCCAGTTTCCTCCAAAGCACTTTGTTTACACATTTTAAGCCTCGTCTTCATCCATAGGCTTGTGACCTATAAACGGCCTTCTATAGGAACTTGATTTATACCATCATTGTGTAATGGTAGCGCGTTGTACGGCTAACACGACAGTCTCGAGTTCGAAACCCGTCGTTGGGTTAATCCTAATAGGTATCAGACTCACGTTTGGGGAAAATAAAACATGCTGGGCATAGCGATGAGTACTTTATTCATTTCAAATATCCAATTCACAGATGAACTCTGCTTCACATGCCCTATTGACCTTAAGGCAGGGGATACCAACCCCATGCCCGCGGGCGCAATGGCGCCCGCCGATCGATTCGTATGTACCCGCCTCTCACTACTCGACAGAGACTGAATTTTGTCATAAACATTATTGAAAGGTTGAAGGGGATGGAAATCGAAAGTTTGAGGGTGGTGCAAATCGAAAGTTTTGTCCCCTGGTGACGGGAAGGGTCGCTACGCCTCTGGAAGGAGTTTGTCAATTTAAAATAGTTGGTGCCCGCCACCCTACCGATATTTTAGCATATGTTCTAGAGTAAAAAAAAGGTTGGGAACCCCTGCCTTAAGGTCTGGTAGGGCACTTTTTAGAGTCATGGTTCAAACCCCCCCACCTCTCTTCCTACTCCGCGTTCAACAATTCTGACTACACAACACTGACCTCTCTTTAGACCAAACAATATAGGGAACATTGCTCGATTGAAGGCGGAAGAGACCCAAGGTCGAGACCATGGCGAAAGAGTTGCACGTGATTCCGACAGTGAGGGTTGGCCGTCCCTGGAGAACATAAACAAAAACATAAGCTGTTTATTGTAAACTTTTACTTTAATGCAATGACTCTCTGGGAATAGGGCTGGTAAGTAGGTCATCAACCAGTTCTATGGCTCATGCAGGTTTTATTGAGCCGTAGAACTGGTTGGTGACCTACTTACCAGCCCTATTAGTTGCTAATAAATTAACTCAAAATTGACTTCTTTCTCAGGTGAACTTCTTTAAACTATCCGTGTTAGTTTGATTCAGCTGACGAATGATCAGCGGTATTAGTCCCTATATATAAATTTAGTGTTAAAATTTAATTAAAAAAATATAACAACGGTGTGATGTGCTCACAAAAATTGCTGTCAAGAAAATTAAGAGCCAGTTGCAGAAGATAATACCATAACGTGGGACGGCGTGGCCTAGCGGTCGTGCGCTCGACCGCTAACCCGAAAGACTAGAGTTCGAACCAGGGTCCAAGTCATTAGAACGTCCACACAGCTCTGATGGGTACCTAACTCATGATAGATAAAGTAGAGGAGGAGGGGCATAATGCTGACCACACCTTCCTTTCAAATGCCGATTTCAAGAAACATATAATCTATTTCATCTGCCCAATGGATCGCTAGCTCGGAAGCGGAATCTTTAAAGAAGGTAATGAGGTACTGATAGGGTTTTTAAAGAAGGTAATAAGGGAATGATAGGGGTTTAAAGCACCTATTAATATTTGCGCAACCCGCATGACAAATATTAATAACTAACGAAATGGAAAATACTTTACTAATTGTTTTAAAATTTAATATTGACATTTAAAATACCGAGTATTGAAATTATTTGTTATAATAGTTTATATTATATTCTATATATTCCCTCCTTCGATGAAATACCGAGGATAACCCATGAAATTTGTTTTCTCTGAAATCTAACTCACTTACTTTCCTCTTTTTTCTCATAGTTTTTTTCGTCCTATTTTAAGTGCATCTAAAAAAGCTAGTATTAGTTTTTGTTTCATTTTACACGTATTAGTGTACTGTTAACTAGAGAAAGGTTAATTACCCATTATAATCATCCTTTTTGGGAAAGGTTATTTACCAAATTATAATCATCCTATTTTGGAATTGTTAATTACCCCATTATAATCATCATATTTTGGAAATGTAAATTACCCCATTATATTCACGAGTACACACAGGCCAGGAGCCAATGAACGAGTTGGCCTCAATGAGCCGGAAGTGGACAACACACTCCTCCCTGGTCTGAAAGTCCTCTTTCCTCAGCGTGGAAATCAGGGTCAAGTTTGCATCGTCGTTTCTGGAAGGTTATGTAAAACGTCGATGTAATGCTCGTTGATATCTTAACTTCATTACACTTCTAATCCCCAACAACAACACATTTATATCTTAACTTCATTACACTTCTAATTCCCTACAACAATACATTCATAAATTAAGTTCATTACACTTCTAATCACCTACAACAATACATTCATAAATTAAGTTCATTACACTTCTAATCCCCAACAACAATACATTCATAAATTAAGTTCATTACACTTCTAATCCCCAACAACAATACATTCATAAATTAAGTTCATTACACTTCTAATCCCCAACAACAATACATTCATAAATTAAGTTCATTACACTTCTAATCCCCAACAACAATACATTCATAAATTAAGTTCATTACACTTCTAATCCCCAACAACACATTCATAATTTAAGTTCATTACACTTCTAATTCTCTACAAAAACACATTCATATCTTAACTTCATTACACTTCTAATTCCCCACAACAACACATTCATATCTTAACTTTACTACATTTCTAATTCTCTACAAAAACACATTCATATCTTAACTTTACTACATTTCTAATTCTCTACAAAAACACATTCATATCTTAACTTTGCTACATTTCTAATTCTCTACAAAAACACATTCATATCTTAACTTTACTACATTTCTAGTTCTCTACAAAAACACATTCATATCTTAACTTCACTACATTTCTAATTCTCTACAAAAACACATTCATATCTTAACTTTGCTACATTTCTAATTCTCTACAAAAACACATTCATATCTTAACTTTACTACATTTCTAGTTCTCTACAAAAACACATTCATATCTTAACTTCACTACATTTCTAATTCTCTACAAAAACACATTCATATCTTAACTTCATTACACTTGTAATCCCCAAAAACAACACATTCATAACTTAACTTCATTACACTTATAATCCCCAACAACAACACACTCATAAATTAAGTTCATTACACTTATAATCCCCAACAACAACACATACATAAATTAAAGTTCATTACACTTCTAATCCCCAACAACAACACATTCATAAATTAAGTTCATTACACTTCTAATCCCCAACAACAACACATTCATAAATTAAGTTCATTACACTTCTAATCCCCAACAACAACACATTCATAAATTAAGTTCATTACACTTCTAATCCCCAACAACAACAACACATTCATATTTTAACTTAGGGGTAAATTACGTGGTGAATTAGGGGGTAAGTTAGGGGGTAAGTTATGGGATAACGTACGATGTGAATAAGGGGGGGGGGGGGTGGTGCCTTACGTGGTAACTTACGGAAAAGCATTTGGATAAGTCACATTGTAAGGAATGATTTGTATGACTTTCTCCTCATCCACCGTGATAGCCAGCACGTGCTGCAACAGTGGCACGTGGTTGATTTTTTGCACCAGGGTCAACGTGAAAGCCTGAACATCAATTAGAAACGGGATTAAAGATAAATCAAGGAGAGGAAATTATTCGAATGGTAAAATAATCTCGATATATGTCAATATAAAATTAATTTGTGCATGAAATTTGAAAGGGAGGTTGTGATCGGGGGGTGGGGGTGGGAGAGTACAGTTTTTGACTCCGAAAAACAGGAGTCTAAACCCCCTGGTATCTGAGGCTAGCTTGCTTGTACAGCTACTGTTGAGAGGTTGGGTGAAGGTGTCCTAACTGAATACACAAAACTCGAGTTTCTGATTTTTCTATTTTAAAAGAGCTACTGGTAAGAGAACTAAAGGTGATATTTCACACAGTAGGTTCAAAGGACTAAGCGGCGTAGCAACTCATTCCGGCGCCCAGTGCGAACTATCAAATTTGCTCCGCGTGGGCGAAAAAGAGGCCCCACCCCATTTAGTAGTCAATATTCCATGTTGTTAGTATGATGTCACAACATTAAAGACAGTTAAGTTAGTCAGGAAAGCAAAGTTGTAGTCTATTTTCTTCAACTTCGACTGTGTATCATTCAGTAATGCTGCTCAGAATGAGATTTTAAATAATTAGTTTACCCCGTTTGGCGCATCTTAGGGTCGGCCTGCCCCACCCGCATTTCCCTTAGTTACGCCTCTGAAACAACAACGTGCTAGACGTAAAGTTCTCATAAGTATCCGGGCTCATTTTTCTATAATAACGTGTGTTTTAAGTTTGTTGATTACGTTTCTTAATTATGTGCTTTACGGTCGTGTTTAATTTTAAAGATACCTTCGAGTAACTCAATACCGATATTGTGTGAGAACCTACCGGATGTAAAGATGGAACGTCTACTGGAAGTACCGTTGTCTCCACAACATCCAGCGTGCTGCTAAGTTTTCCAGGGTCTCCAACGTTGCAGAATTTTCCGACCGCGCGCCTGAAGAAGTTGGTGAGTAAAGACGACCTACATTCTGAAGGAGAGTCAATTTGAAACAATTGGTTGCGTTTATTACAAAACTGTCTTACAACATGACAATGTGTAGTGCTAAAGAAACATATTTGCTATTATAATGTCTTAAGTTCAATTTCCTTTATTTAAATTTCAAATTAGGAGAGGAGGGTTATGGCCAAGGGTTTCATGTCTAGGGATTTTGTTGGAAATATAACGGCTTGTTTCATTATTTTTTATATTTTTAATTGCATCATTGAAGGGATTCTCATCCAACAACATTTTATTTTCCTTATTGCAAGTTGACTCCAATGCCAACCTGCTTTTCTTTTTGGATTTACCTACATTGTCTTTGTCCAAACAGGTATAATATGCAAGGCAGCAGTTATTTTATTTTGGAGTGATCTCCCCTAGAAGAGTTCCTTTCTAATTTGCTCAGGGTTGCGATTTTGTGAGCTTCAGCGCTAGCAGCAGGGCCGCGCTACCAATAAGGCGAACTAGGCGGTCGCCTCGGGCGCCCTCCCTAACGGGGGCGCAAAAAGGTTTAATCGCTATTACCAAAAAAAAAAGTACTTAATAATTAAAAATTTTGATTATCTTTTATAAATATGGGTGGTAATATATAAAGGAGTAGTGATCTATTTCGGCGCCCAGGACGAACTATCAATTTTGTGCCCCCACTCGCAAAATAGGCCTATTAAGGGCTATATTTATTCGCGATGGTGAGAATACAACCCCACCTCCCTTTTTACCAGTCACTTTACCTTTTTATTTTGGTGTCACATAATTGATGTAGAAAACGATTAAATTTACATTTCGAACATTTCAAACAGTTATCTAATTTTAATGTTGACTTAGTTATCGCTCCAGCGCATGACGGGGCGTTCCAAAATGCGTGCAATTTTGGTTTTTAAATCTCGTTTTCTCTGACTTTGAATTAGAAATCTGTTCTGGTGTACAGAGTTTTGTAATGACAGGCTATTCAAAGTATTGTTCTTGTTTGGTAAGATTTGATGAATCGTTTAGATTTGGGAGTAACGGCTGTTTTGTAGATGAAGGTCTAGTTGAATCTGATTGGTAATAGAGAAATGAGAATGTAGATGATGTGGTATCGTAGTTCTGGAGCTCGGGAGTATCGAAGTGTGATTATTGTTATCGTGCAGTAGTAGGTCCAGTTAAATCTTTGTTTATTGGGAGTATCGCTTGTAGAGCTTGGTGAAGTTAAGCGAGGTGGTGTAGTAGTTTTGGAGTATCGAGTCTAGTTAAGTTTAGGCATCGATGTTTGATGTATGTTGTGAACGTAGTAGATTATATAGAGTAGTCGAGTTTATCGTAAGTTAGGTGATTTCAATTCAGGACAGAACACACTACATAGAAAAATAGGCGTTCTCTATCTGAAAAATCTTTAGTTTTTTAGGAATCTATAATCTATATTACCACTCTTAAAGTATTAATATATAATATTATATAGGTTGGAATTTATAACTAACCGTAAACTTTATTATTTTTTACCGACAGAACACACTACATAGAAAGGTATGCGTTCTCTAACTGAAAAATCTTTAGTTTTTTAGGAATCTATAATCTATATTACCACTCTTAAAGTATTAATATATAATATTATATAGATTGGAATTTATAACTAACCGTAAACTTTATTTTTTTTTTAAATTATAATTTTTACATTTAATCAATAATTATAGCAACGCCTTAAAACAGTTCGGGTATTGGGATTTTTTTTTAATCCAAAATTATTTTTTTAAATACTTTTATTTTCAACTAAAACAATTAACATCAAACATTTGTTTGTAAGCCATTGTCTGTGGTAACATAATATATACATAGTAGAATAGTCAGAAACATTGTACATAGCAGTGTTTCTTCCAGACTTTTTTCTCCGGGGGGGGGGGGGGGGGGCACTTGAAATTTTCGGGGGGGGGGGGGCGGGGGGCGGGGGGCGGTAGACTTTCTTTGGGGGGGGGGGGCGGACACTGCTAAAAGTATATATTTTCTATATAAATTATATAAATTTCATTACGTTCGGGAGGGGGGCGGTAAAAATTTTTTCGGGGGGAGCTTCGCTCCCTCCCCCCCGAAGAGATGCCTGAAAGAAACTCTGGTACATAGTATTCATCACATTTTGTACTTTAAAATTTTTAAAAATTTGTTACAGTATACATATTTTTTTTATTACAAACAATGTTGTGGTCCAATAGACACAAATTTTCTTTACATCCGATGAAGTAACATTTTTTCTCCATGGTCAATTTTTTTATTTTCTACCTGTTACGATTAAAATCATATCCAGTACATGTATAAAACTTTTTTTCCTTGAAATATTTGCTTTCCCTGACAATAACCCATTGTCTTTTATCTTTAAGTACCTCATGTTTTTTTATATTCGCAGAAATACTCAAATAATGCAGAAAGGTTTGTTGAATGTTCCATTCTAACTTTCTCTGGTTCAATAATTCAGTGATGGAAATTTCGGCGTCTCACTGAAAATACCTTACTCTGAAAGGGAAATAAAACAACCCTACTTAGAGATCTCTGTTTTACTTTAAAAAATACTTTTTTTTTTTTTTTTTTTTTTTTTTTAAATACTTTTATTTTCAATTTTAAAACAAATATAGTAACATCCCCCACCGTTTTGGTGGGTATTTACAAGGTGGTTACATTAATGTATAGGGTATAGTAAATAAATTGCTAATTTGGTGAATAAGTATATAAAATATATTGGGTTTAAGGCATTTTGGTTCAACAATTGGACAGAGGCTGGTTTGGAACATTTTGCTATTAAAAGTGGGTCAGGTTGTACAATATATGGGAGGTTATTCCAAAAAACTAAATTGGTTTACATGGGTTTCATCCCTTCTTGTACAATAAACATAGTAATAAAGAATGAATAAATGAAGGTGATACGTATATATATATATACAACTGTTGTTACTACAATTGTTACTACAATGATACCATTACAAGAAAAATACAACTGCCATTCTGTTTACTTTAAAAAATACAAAATATGTTTCGAAAATTGCGTATTTCAAGCAATGCGCTAGATTGAATATCATCACGATTGACTAGAAGTATGTTATAATAAAACTACCGTATTTAGACTTTCAAACAAAACCGACAGCTAAGTAATCAATTCGTAAAATATATTCTGTCGACACAATTGCATAGGTAATATAAAAGATTTGTTATAATTATTACGTAATGAAATTGAAAGCGTTTTATTGTGTTTTTTTAAAGCTTGTCTTAGTTACACTTGTTAATTTAGTTATTCTTGTGAAAGTTATTTCCCTTGAATGAAATTTTGGTGTTTGAATTTCAAAATGGGAGATAATTCATTAGGTTGACCGCTTACTTATAAATAGAAATTTAAGTTATTATTTGCTATTGGAAATATATAGAGCAGAAGTTCTAAACAAAATAGTTTGGTAGGTTTTCTTGCATTATCAAGTTGAAAAACAAATACATCACCAGCCGTTGTATATTGCAATACATACCCATACAACAACTGCGTCTAAAATCGTCTTAGTCGCATATTAATCATGTAATTAATCAAGTGTCTTGTTCACACCACCCCTCTCCTAATGGAGTTCATATATAACAATTGTAGGTTGGAATCTATAACATTTGTAAACTTTTATTTTTAAAAAACAAAAAAAAAAGAAAAGCATTACATAATGACACAATATAGACATTTTATAATTTTAACTAGACAGGTAAGCTTGGGAGGCCTGTAGAGAGCCCAATACTACAAAAACTGTTGGGGGGTGGGGGGGAATTATGTTTTTTTTTCTAGACTTATTTCTCCCGGAAGGGGTAGGGGGGACCACTTGAAATTTTCTAAGGTGGGGGGGGGGGGCTATGTCTTAAAGTACAAAGTAGACTTTGTAGTAGACAATTTCAAAAGAATGTGATTACGCTTGCAAACTGGAATTGAAGGAATTAGTACAGACTTTTGCGACGAAGGAGGCAAGTAAAATTTGATTTTGATGTCTACTTATAAGGTGTATGCAGTTGATAATAAATTAATTATTAATATGTCACTTTTAATTACTTGTTTTCTTATACGTATGTTTTAGTAATTAATTTGTGTGAAAGGGGCGTTTCAATAAGTTTTGCCTAGGGCGCTAAATAACCTGGCGCCGGCACTGGCTAGCAGTACTGCTAGACCACGCAATAACGCCTTTGATTAGTTTGATTTCCAGGGCGAACATATCAGATCGACTATAAGACTACGAAGATATAAAGTTTAGTATGTTGTGTTTTTTGTTTTTGTTTTAAGATTTATAAAGATTCGACAACAATGAGAATTGTAGGTAGTATAAAACAAGAAAAAGGTAAACTCCAAGAATTTATCATTGATTCTCGAACTAAATTATTTCAGTCACGAGGGATAGAAAAAACCTGAACAAACCAGAACAATAGGAATGTATAATGTTTCCAGTGTGTTTTGAAAGAGAACAACATTCACGAGGAGACAAGAACAACACAATGCTAAAAATAACTGGTGTTAACATCCATCTGTTTTAACTTACGCAAACTGTCAGCCGAGTTAAGAAATACACAAGCGAACAGAAACACACTCAAAACACGGCGATACATAATGGTGTTCATGTCGAACATTAAATATTCAAACCTTTGTTTCGTTTCATTTAGTTTAGTTTTATAGTTTT